AACTGAGCCAGGGATGAAGGAAAATTGATTTGGCGAGAGGTGGACAGTTAACAGACCCAGGCTAGGGGCACCTGGGTGGCTCAGTCGGTTAAGTGTCTGACTTCGGCTCAGGTCATGATCTCAGGGTTTGTGGGTTCGAGCCCCGCGTGGGCTCTGTGCTGACAGCTCGGAGACTGGAGCCTGTTTCGGATTCTGTGTCTCCCTCTCTCTCTGACCCTCCCCTGCTCATACTCTGTCTCTCTCTGTCTCAAAAATAAAATTAAAAAAATAAAAAAAAAACCAAAAAACAGACCAAGGCTGGACCCCAGGGGCTGGAGGGCTGGAATGTCAGCGACCACATGAGGCAGGACTGATGTCGCAGACACCTGGCTGCAGCCACCTAGAAGAAGTCTGCGGCTTGCTGTCACAACCTGGCCACACGGCAAACCGGGAGGGCGCCCTGTGATGCTTTTTTCTCACACGAAGTTTGCTGCATCAGTTCGCCCCCTTCCTCCTCTGAAAGGGATCCCTCCCCTGACCTCCACTTCTTCTCTCATGGTTTTCTTTCATGCTCCCTTAAATGCCAGTCTCCTCTGGGATTTGTTAAAAACCCTTTCCCTAAGATTTCATCCACTACCATGGCCGCCGTTACCGTTCTGTGCGAATCACGGGCCTTCCGAAAGCCCACAGCTGCCTCTCGCCACAAGGCAGCACAGCCCACTCACTTCGTGAGCGCCTGGGAATTCGCTCCCCTGAACCGCTGGGTGAGGGTGCGGGGTATGAATACCCCGGCTCCCACGTCCCCTAGCCTGGGAGCTCGGGGCCTTGTCAGGGCTCCCACCGCAATCCAGCCCCGGGCACCCCCTGTGGCCTCAAGCTCACACGTTGCATCGGCGGCCCTGCCTCGCCCACGCTACTTCTCCGGTCACTTACTAGTACTCTACACCTCCCAGTCACTATGTTTGCTCACAACTCGTGGGAAATCCAAAGTGAGACACACTCCTTCCACCCAAATATTTATGCGACCACCCTCTGCCCGAAGCAGGTGCACCTACTAACTCCATCTCGGTATAGACACCACCTTTAATCTAGCCCGAGGCAGAAGTCTCACACACTTGGTCTGCTACCGTGCCCGGCTGACTTTGCCTTCTTCATGTCCCTTGAATCCATGTTTCCACCCACCCCTCTTCATGACCTGGTGAAGACCTCAATCGCTCGGCCAGCCTCTCATCTTCCCAGGCCCCAGTCTCGCCCTCCTCCGTCCATCTCCCACACGTCCCTCAGGCTGCTTCTAAAATGCCAGCTGCTCAGCCCATTTCCAGAGATTCAAATCTCCCAAAACCTCCCTGTCACTAAGCAGAAACCCCAAACTGTTCAGTGTTACATTTAAAAACCCAAACACGTGTCCGCACAGCCTGAGTGCTGGGCTGGTCCGTCCCAAGCCTGAAACACATCCCCCCAAGGGCACCTCTCCAGGGTCGTCTTCGTAACTACTGTCTGCTCCTCTGTCATCCCAGCTGGACTTGGGCAGGAAGCCTGCACAGAACCGATTCCTCCCTGCGCCCCAAGCCACCTGGACATCACCTGGTATATCATGGGAATTGGACTCGTGGACCTGACTCAGCCAACGAAAGAATCAATGAACTTGAGTGTAATGAACCCTTGTGTATGTTTTTATTCACCCAACACCTTAGCCCATCTGAGTGTTTAGGGAACTCTAACTTCAGAGCTTAATAGGAGGCAAAAACGCCTCTCAGCAGGTGCTGAGTATGTGATAGTCTTGCTTTCCCAGAATCCCTTGCAGCAAGGCTCTCCTGCCGGGATCCAGGGCTGCTGGGACACGGGGCCGAAGGATGGGGCTCAGGGTGAGAAGCAGGGAAGGGGGCTCATGCTGCCACACCCTCATCTGCCTGTCCTTCTCTCTCTCTCTGTGCCTCTCTCTGTTTCTCTCTCTTTATTACCTTTTTGTTTCTCCCTGTTACTCTCTGTCATCGTTTCTCTCTTAATTTCTCTGTCTCTCTGTGTGTGTCTCTCTCTGTCTCTCTCTCACAGTCTGCGTGCATGTGTCTCTCTGTCCTTCTCTCTGGCAGGGCTGCCGTGGAAGTATCTGGAAGGTGGTGCTTTGGTACAGAAGGTGCTCTGCGGTAGCAGCCACAGTGAGGGTCAGTTCCTGGTGGCTCACACATGGCGGCCACGGCTCAGGGGCCCTCACTGACCAGCTCTGAGGCACAGCCTGAGCAATGTTCTGGAAGCTGACATATAGGCTGGCTCTTCAGGACCCCTCCCCCCCAATTTATGATCCTGTGAGCTACTCAATATTCTCTTAAGAAACTCCTCTCTTGAACTTAATGAAGGACCATGAGGGAGAAGAAGGGGAAAACTAGTGGGGGAGAGGGAGGGAGGCAAACCATGAGAGACTCTTGAATGCTGAGAACACACTGAGAGCTGATGGGAGTCGGGGGGAGGGGAGAGAAGGGCATGGAGGAGGGTACTTGTGGGGATGAGCACTTGGTGTTATATGGAAACCAACTTGACAAACTATTTTTAAAAAAAGAAAAAATAAAGGAAAAAAGGAAACAAGAAACTCCTCTCTTGCTTAGGGGCACCTGAGTGGCTCAGTTGGTTAAGCATCTGGCTCAGATCACAGTCTTGCAGTTCGTTCATGAGTTTAAGTCCCATCAGGCTCTGTGCTGACAGCTCAGTGCCCGGAGCCTACTTGGGATTCTGTGTCTCCATCTCTCTCTGCCCCTTCCCCCTCCCTCTCAAGTAAACATTTAAAAAAAGAAGAAGAAACTCATCTCTCGCTTCAACAGCCAAAGCTGACTATGTTGGTCAGAATACTGACCAAGACATTAGGAAAGCTGCTTATAGAATTATGAAAACTTGTAATAAATAAAACATCAAAAAATCTTTATAATTGATGAGAACTTGAGAGATCCTTCGATATTCACTGACACAACACCCCAGTGCAACAGTCGAAAGATTGAGTTTCCGAGCCCTGCAGCTCATGAAGACTCAGCTCTGTCTGGAAACGGGGCCGTCTGACTCCTGAACGCCACACCAGGGGCTCACCTCCTCGGAAGCCATCGTTGGACACTTCCTAGGAACCTGTGTCTAGCCGGGAAAGGAAAGGCTGGATGTGACGAGATGTTCCACATCGTCTGTCATCAGGGAAATGCAAATTAAAACAAGGACACCCACTGCACACCTGTGAGAACGGCCACAGTCAGGAAGCACTGAGAACACTGAATGCTGGTGACGACGTGCAGCAACGGGAACTCTCGCTCACTGCGGGCGGGAACACAGAATACACAGCCCTTGTGGGAGACAGTTTGCCAATTTCTTACACATGAAACAACCTCTTACCGTATGACCCAGCAATTGTACTCCCTGATATGTGCACAGAGGAGTTGAGGACTTATCGCCACACAAACAAATGTTTACAGCAGATTTATTCGTAGTCGCCAAAGTTTAGAAGCAATCAAGATGTCCTTCAGGAAGTGGACGGATAAATAAACCTTGGTTCATCCAGACAATGGAATATTATTCAGCGCTGGGGTGCCTGGGTAGCTCGCTTGGTTAAGTGTCCCACTCTTGGTTTTGGCTGAGGTCATGATCTCACCGTTGGTGAGTTTGAGCTCTGCATCGAGCTCCATGCTGACAGTGCAGAGCCTGCCTGGGATTCTCTCCCTCTCTCTCTGGCCCCTCACACTCAGTCTCTCTGTTTTCTCTCTCTCAAAATTAAATAAATAAATTTTTAAAAAATAATATTATTCAGCACTAAAAAAAATGAGCTATCAAGCCATGAGACAACATGAAGGAACATTAAATACCTATCATAAGTGAAAGAAGCCAATTGGAAAGGCTACAGACTGTTTCCACCTCTATGACATTCTGGAAAAGGCAAAACAATGGAGACAGTAAAGAGACCAGTGGTTGCCGGTGGGGAGGTGGGAGGAAGGGATGAATAGACAGAGCACAGAGGATATTTAGGGCCGAGACACTACTCTGCATGACACTGTAGTGTGGAATACATGTCATCATAAATGTGTCCAAACCCACAGAATATATGACACCAACAGTGAACATTATGCTACGGACTCAGTGCGATAATGATATGTCGATTTAATGTCATCAGTTGTATCATATGTTCCCTCTGGTGGAGGATCTGAAGGAGGGGAGGTTGTGGGGAGCAGACGGGAAGTACAGGGAAATCTCTGTACCGTCTCCTAAATATGGCTGGTTACCTCCAGCTGCTCTAAAAAGATAGTCTTGATAAAAAAAAATTGTTTCAGTGATAGAGGACGCCCACAGACTTAAAATGATTTGAGAGACACAAGAAAGGAAGGGAAGGGAAAAGAAGAGGAGGGAAGGGTGGCGGAGGAAGGGGAGGGGAGGGAAGGGAAGGGAGAAGGAAAGGAGCCTGACGTTGGCTAATTAAGGAGAACGTTCACAGCAGAAGCAGAGAATGGAGAAAGCAGCTTGGCCTGCTGGAAAGCCCATCCCTGTAGGGTAAATGCAAAGGAATCAGAAGCAACCCGCTCAGCCTTGATCAGGGAAGAGGGTGACGCCTGGGGCCTTCCCACAGGGAACACAGCTCAGCTACAGAGACTCCCGCCCGCTGGCGGCTTAGTGCTCCCCGAGGCCCCTTGTTCAGGCTCACGGAGCCACCCCCGCGCAGGGCTGCTAGCCCGAGCTGCTTTCCCCAGGAACCCCCCCAGCGCAGCACAGCCTCCAAAACCAAACAGCACTGGCCAGAGGAGCCAACCCCAGGACTCCAGGCTGAAGGCTGAATCCAGTCCCAGCTAGCTGGAACAAAGTGTGTCCACATGACTGGCAGACTACCCGGGGCAAATGGCACGAGGGGTTATTTATTAGAATTTCGCTGTGTGCATTACGACTCCACCCTTCAGATCGCCTATGCGATTGTGCAATCCTGTGCCCTATAAATACAGACACTCCCGCCTCTGGAAGCCTCAGTGAGCTGAGCCTCCGGATCCTCCTTCGCCAGGCATCCCGGCCCAGCCTGCCCGCCGCCATGAGGACGCTCTACTTCCTGCTGCTGACGCTGTGCCTCCTCTTCTCCCACCTGGGCCCAGGTGAGCTTTGGGACACCCTGACCCCAGGCTGGGGCCTCAGGGGCTGAGTCCTGGGGACAGCTGCCCAATGTGTCCCTGGGGGGTGGTGTGGCAGAGAAGCACCGGCAAGCCAGAGAGGCCGGCTTGGGCAGATGGCATGGGCGGGCCTGCTGAGCCTGGGGCTGGGGGCCATCCCCTGGAGGGACAGACTCAGCTCTCGGTCACTGACTCTTGCCCCCATTGAGACATGATATGCCATTTCCTCTGGGTCACTCACTGAGTGGCCTTGAGCAAACCATGCATGCTGGGCCTCAGTTTCCCCATCTGCAAAATGAGTGGGCCACTGCAGGTGGCCCTTAGAGCACCAAAGCTCCGGAATTCTCTGCAGGACATCACTGCATCACATAGACATGCTTCTCCAAACAGGACTCGGTCCCCCATCTGAAAACTGGGTACAGGAGGATTCCAACACAGAGTTAGAGTGTTTCCAGCTGGAATCTATACGAGGGGTGGGGAAATCAATCTAGTGAGTTGCCACCATGTTTTTTCAAAAGGACAGAAAACACTAGCGTGGGCCACGCAGTGAGCATCCGTGCTGTTTCCTCGCCCTCTTATTCTAGCTCGTGTCCGAATGTGTGCGTTTGTCCTCAGTGGCCGTGCAAAATCCCTTACTGCGGCTCAGTTCAAACTCAAAAATGTTGGGAAGCCACTCTGTTAATCCCAAGACTTACCTTCAGTCTGTCACCTCTAAATACGACCATGCGCCCGTCATTGAAAGCACGGGATATAAGTGTTTTCAAGGATGTGGAGGAACAAGCAGACTTAGCAAGTAGAGCACTACTGGTGAACAGGGCTGAACACTGAGCAACACGGGATTCACCCAGAGCCTCCCAGGGGACTCTTCCCTGCACTGTGCTCTGACAGCCCATAAATCCTGTCTGCACAGACTGCCAGGAAATGGATTCTCCCTACGGGGAGTGGATAAGTTTACTGTGAGAAGGGAGCTCAGTGTAGCTCCTGGAATGAGCTGCTTGGGTCCCAGCCTCACACAGTGACTCGCCCCGAGCCCTCATGTGGGATCAGTTCACTCCCTTTTCTGGGAAAGCCAGTAGGTTCATTTAGTCACACATGGGGAAACTGAGGCCCACTTGCCCTGAAGTGAGTGACAGTTGTGCAGTCACTGCAGGAAACCATGACTTGACATTCTCTTTTAGCAGTTTTTATCCCGGTCAGAAAAAAACAAAAACAAAAACAAGAACAAAAACCTGTTGCTTCCTTTTATCTTCTACAAAAATTATGTCTTATTTCTGTGAACACAGAATGCTGTCAAAACATCAAGGCATTTCAGGTCCCTGTATCCTCAGGACGAGAACCCAGCCAAGGGGTGTAGAAATCAGGAGAGTCTGGGGCTCTGTGCTCACTGATTCAGTGAATATTTAGTGAACAGCTACTGTGTGCAGGCACTGATCGGAGAACATAGCCCTCGATCTCGTGACCTTACATTCTAGAAGCAGAGCATGACAAGAAACCCAATTCTACAATTGATTATCTAATTACCACTGTGTTGTGGAATGCCACTAAGTTCAGGGTGGTAACACGTCACAGTGGGGGCCAGGAGGCTTTCCTGAAGAAGCAGAGAGGGAAGGAAAGATGGACGTCACTTTGGTGTGCACGGTAACTACAAAAAAAAACATTTTTTTACGGCCTTCTGGACATTAAAAACTCAGGGTGGGTCACATAAAATTCAGATCTTTATCTTCTCTTAAACACAAAAAATGAGGGGTGCCTGGGTGGTCCCATCAGTTAAGTATCCAACTTCGACTCAGGCCGGTTTCTCACGGTTGGTGAGTTCAAGCCCCGAGTCGGGTTCTGAGCTGGCAGTGCAGAGCCTGCCTGGGATTCTCTCTCTCCCTCTCTCTGTCCCTCCCCGGCTCTCTCTCTCTCTCTTTGAAAATAAATAAATAAACTTTAAAAAGCATGCAAAAGACGAGGCCATGTTCCCACACAGCACCAGGGAGCTGCAGCTGTGGGGGCCGCGGTCCAGACGGACGCTGGTGTCCACACCACCGCAGACCCTGCTGCTCCCTATCGCCTCCCCTCAGGCCACTGTGCCCACGTTCGGCGTCTGCCTGGCTTCTGGGTTGCACGCAGTCCTGAGTGAGGTAAACTGCTGAAAGGTAAAAGGGCAGGGAGGGTGCAACCAAGGACAAACCAGACAGAAAGGATATCAGGTGGGAAAGCTCACGGAGGAGGAGAAAGAGAAACCCAAAAGCTCTCACTTTTTTTTTTAAATCTTTTTATTTATTTCTAGGAGAGAGAGAGAGAGAGAGAGAGACAGCGTGAGCAGGGGAGGGTCAGAGAGAGAGGGAGTCACAGACTCTGAAACAGGCTCCAGGCTCTGGGCTGGCAGTCAGCACAGAGCCCGACGCGGGGCTCGAACCCACGAACCGCGAGATCACCACCCGAGCCTAAGTTGGACGCTTAACCGACTAAGCCACCCAGGCGCCCCAAAAGCTCTCACTTTTAACTTAGTGCTTCACCCAGGCCCCTTTGGGGAAGGAAGAATCATTACCCTCGTTTTGTGGATAAACGGCGTGGCCAACCTCACCCAGGTGTGGGTCAGCCCCAGGGACCTTTAAACCGAGACAGTGAAGGAATCAGAAATGGCTTCTTCGGAAAGTGGACTCGCTGCGAGAGGCTGGTCAGGGGACAGTCACGTGGAC